AGTGGTAGAGTGCTAGCCTTGAGCTGAAGAGCTGAAGGACAGCGCCCAGGCCCAGAGTTCAGGCCCCATGACCGGACCCCCCCCCCAAAAAAAAAGGAGTGCGAGAGTTAAAACAAGGAGAATAGCTCTCTGTTGCTAAATACATTGGTTTGAAATTCCTGGCTGCCATTCACCTTATTTTCCCTAGTCTATCCTGCCCCATTTTCTCTTTTTTTTAATGCATGCACCTTTTAATTCATGTATATTAATTATATAAAGGGGTTTAGTTTGGGCATTTCCATACATAAATATATATCGATCATATTTATCCTTACCCCTCCCATTTTCGCTTAAAACAACTTTGGCCCCTTAATCTTAAGGGAAGTTGATGGGCGACAATCACGCTCCTGGATTTGCTTTATGCAGAGGCTGCCTTGTGGCATGCCTCATTTTCCCTGCTCTGCCCTGCCTCAAGTGCAAGGTTGTGCTCTGGGTGGTTGTGGCTCTTGTGGTCACGTGGCTCTTCTGTGGTCCCTTGGCCCTCCTCAGCACCTCCTGTCTTTCCTCTTTCTCTGTTCGCACTCTGGGTAGAGTAGGCTTACAGGTGCTCAAGTGCAGGTGCTGACTGGGAGGTGGGGGTTTGGGGGTACGGACTAAGCTCAACCCAGTCTTGTCCAGCAGTCACTGAGGCTCAGGGAGGACCCCTTTGGTTCTAGGCCTCTCTGTTCATAACAAGCCTGAGCTCCCATTCTGTCTCAGGAATAGGGGCTAACGTGGCCTCCCTGTGTGCAAACTAAGGCAGTGGGGCTGGCAGGGCCGGCACTGCACAAGGATGTCAGGTTGAGAGTTGAGCCCCCTGCTGGTGTGGACCGGGTTTGCCTGGGAAACGCTTCTCTCCCTCCCCTGCTCCTCTCCTCCCCCAGTCTTTATGGTGACACCTGACTACTGCTGGGGTCAGAGAAGTCACTGCAAGGTGGACTTACCAGAGGCTGCGTGTAAAATAGGCTTGTGCCACGAGCCACACAGGTTCTAGATGGGAGGCCCTGAGCCAGCACTGACCTCTGACCCCCAGCATCACCACACATCACGCTAATGTTCACAGAGCCTGGCCTAGGGGCCTGGCCCAGGGAGAGCCGAAGAAAGCCTTCCTCCTTCTCTCCCTCCTCCTCCTCCTCCTCTTCCTCTCCTTCCTTGCTCAGACAAGGACCCAGTGATCCTCGGACCCATGCTGTGCTGTGGCTTAAAGGAAAGCGCTTCTGTTCTAAGGTGACATAGGCTGGCACTGGGACCGGGGACCAGGGACACAGTGCTGTGGAGGGCCATGGAGGGAGCTGAGCGTCCTACAGAAGCGCCACTCAGAAGGCTGGGCCCGGCGGTGACCCCGCCGTGGGAGGAGGGGAGGGCAGCTCAGGACTGGCCCGGCCGTGGCCATCAGCCCTGCCCACTCCAGGCAGGGAAGGCGGTTCGGTGGCTGGGGTGGTGGGCCTGGGGTTCAGATGTCAGATGGGTTGAGAGCATGTGAGAAGGTGACCTGCCGCCATTTAAAGCCTCCAGCCTGGTCAGCCTGAGCTCCTGTCCTGGGAAGAACTCAGAGGCAGATCGGAGAGCGATACTAGAAAACCGGGGCTTCGGCAGGCCGTGGGGTGCGCCCAGAAGGCTGTATTTGAAAGGCCTCCTAGAAAACGACTCAAACCCACAAGCTGTCACCAGCTGTGGGAGTTACAAGCTGAAGGGTTTCGGACATAGCTGGCTGGGGAAGCACAGAAGCATCATGGGAGGCTTCTGCTTTAGCTTCCCATTGGTAAACCCCAGGGGGTCAGTCCTGGGGCTGGGCACTGGTCACAGCTCTTGGGAGTCAAAGTTGAGCCAAGAAGTTGGGATGGTCCTCACCCCCAAAGGAGGGGTGGGGGTGCTGCTCCCACTAAAGCACAAGGAAGAACCACCGGGGGAAGCCCAGG